GACCCCAGGGTGCCTCAGATCTCGCGTATGGTCTACAAAGGCCCCAAGAAGCTGACACGCACAAGAGGTCCAGCTTTCCTGTCCCCGGCCCAACTCAGCCCAGGCTTCCTGTCCCCAGCCCAGCTCAGCCCGGCCTTCCAAAAGCTTTCTACTCCCATTCTCCCCACCCTGGCTCCTACCTTCCTTGCTGCCCCTAATTTTCTGAGGTCATCCCTGGCCGCCTCCAAACCTTCCTCTTTCTGCCTCCAGTGTGTGCTGGACTCCAGCGAGCGCCTAAGCAGAGCTGCTTATTCTGCTGCTGCCGCTGCTCACAGGCATCTCCCCAGACCCTCCTGTTCGGCTCCATGGCCTCTCCTGTGGGTTGTGGCACATGCAGAAAAAGCACATCAAGCCTGGCTACGTGTTCCCAGGAGACCACGTGCTGTGCTGACCACAGTCGGAACCCCAAAGGAGGGATGAAGGTCAGGTGCTCAGGGGCACGGTGTGGGGGCCTGCCTGATTTCCACAGGGCAATACGTGAGAGCCCAGAACAGTCGCTGGCTCCCTGCCTGGGCATCCGGGGCTATCTGCAAACTCCTAAAACTGTATTTTATCTACAGCTCAGTTGGCTTCCTTTTTGATAACAAGATGTTTTCTTGCATTTGTCCTAGACAGACAGGCATTATTCCAATGACTACAGCGATGTATTACGAAGCATTCGTATAGTTTATAACGTTTCCCTTATGAAGGCTACTGCCTCTTACATTACTATAATTTCTACGGGCCAATCTAAATAAATGCTACATGTGTTGCCGCATCGCTTGTTCCAAGTGACCCGATTCAAAGGTGATATAAATGGGATATTTCCTCTCTTCATCAGGATAGTCGTCTAGTATCTTGCTAATGACGACATAAGCTGAGTGACAGCGGACCCCCCAAAGGCCTTCTAGGAGTTTTACTGACCACTCCAGCTAAAGGAGTGAGGTTTAATTGGTGACACCAGACCAGCGGGGAGAACACTGGCATGACAAAGAATTCGACTAGAAAAGCATAAGGGAAACACCAAGGAGTTTAGGTCCTTTTCAGCCCTGCCTTGATCTGAAAGGCGGTGAAGCTGGAGGTCTAGGGCCCACTGTAGGTCACTCCTAATACCTGGACTTACTTCCTGCCCTGTTTAAAACTGTACGAAAACAACTGCCACCAGAGCCCTCCGAATATCAGACATACAATGAGGTGTCACAGCTGAGTTTCAGAAGGGGGATTCCTTTAACGAAGCTGAAAATGTGATGATAACAAGGAACCGTTTTCATAGTTATATCAAGCCCTTGTTTTTGCAATTCACACCCAGGTTGCCTTTGCATTGCTCTTAAATGCCTGATAAAGCACCATTTTGCAAGATGGGAATCTCTCCAAAGGCAGTGTAATAATCCAGGACCTTGCCACCAGCAGCATGGGTTGGGGGGGGGTGGTCACCTGGAAAATGCTGACTCCGAGTTCCTCTGCACCTCCTGAATCAGGACCATTAAGTGAACAGGTGACTTGTACGGACGTTAGTGGGTAGGAAACACCCCTCTCTAGTGAAGAACAGCCTTGGTCTGAGAAATATCCATGGACCCAGGCTCTGCTCAACCAGTGATAAGTGATCTTGGGCAAGTCATTTTTCTGTGCTTTAATTTTTGCTTCTCTAATGGGAATCATTTGTCTCTACCCAATTAACAGCAGAGAAGTGAAGACAGCAAAATTGCAATCAAATACGTCAAATGCACAAATAAGTTCCAAAATGTTACAAAAAGTGTATGTACAAGTTGAAAGGACAAATATTCTCCAATACTGATAGTGGTGGCATTTTAATTTTCCTGCTCCTGGAGAATGAGCATTCTCTACAGTTGGCTGGACACCGGGGCTCCTTCAACTGGCCCTCATTCCACAAGTAATTCTCCAAGTTACTTTGAGTAAAAACCCTCAAGGAGACAATTCAATTTCCAAATGTAAATTCCAACAACATATAGAGGGAACACTATCGCTACCAGTCCCCCGGTGAGAAATGAGGTTTTCTACAAAATGTGATTGCCTTTGACATTGTTGCCATTCCTGTGAAGTGGTTTTTCAATGTTAAAAGAAGCTGTTTCTATTGGGAAGGGATTTGTTCATGTAAAGTTGAAAGTTTACGCTTGTTATGCATGAGTTCGAGGGAAGGAAGACAGAAACGATGTGGAAAGACATGGATGTTCAATGTCATGTGGCTTTGAAGGGCTTCTTTCTGACCCTTAATTATGATCTGTCATTTATACAGAATATAGGGTTCTTGCCACATGTGAGCATCAAATGTGGACCCACTGATGTCTTCCCCACGCATATCCCCTTCACCTTAAAATACTTCCTGCCATCAATGAGTGAATTCATCCCCCAAGGAACTGAGTCTACAGGATTCAGGGTTTGATTTTGTGTGGAACAGCAAATTCAAATGCTAGATATTCTGCTATGAAGGCAAAGATTATGATAGTCAAACACTATCAGCTTTCTATAGGCAAAAACATGTAGGTGAAATCCTTCTAGAGAATGAACGCTCTACACATGATTTTCTCTATTTGATTTTATTTGATTTATAAAAACACATTGATAGGAGCCCTTCCTTGTAGCATTAAAACTAAATTATGGATATTCAACCATTAATTCCATTGAGGCTGACTTGTTTGTTTTTAACTTTCAGAAGACTGTGATATTTAGACAACACAGAATCAAATGATCTGGAATCCTAATTGCGCTGGATTAGAGTTGAACACACTTTCATGGTCAGAACTGTGATACTTCTACTGGGTTTATCAACTCCTCCACAAAAAGATTTATAACAAAGGCCAATTGTTGTTCTGCAAACCCCTGGTCAGCCGTATCCCAAAGGACCCGGGCAGATGGTAAAGGGGACTGCAGAGAAGTCACCTGGTGGATGGGAGGGAATTGGCCATTGTCCGGGCTCCATGAGCTTGGACAGGGCACCTTTTCTCTCTGGGTCCCAGTTTTTTCATTCATAAAATGGGTAGAACTAGATTATTCTTTAAATCCCAAATTTCACAGTTTAAAAGCAATTGGGGCTGGTTGCAGTGGCTTATGCCACTGCACTTTGTAATCCCAGCACTTTGGATAGCCGAGGCAGGAAAGTCACTTGAGCCCAAGAGTTTGAGACCAGCCTGGGCAACAAGGGAGACCTTGTCTCTTCAAAAAAAAAAAAAAAAAAAAAATTAGTCAGGCATGGTAACGCACACCTGTAGTCTTAACTTTACTCAGGAGGCTGAGGTGGGAGGATCGCCTGGGCCCAGCAGGTCAAGGCTGCAGTGAACCGAGATCACGCTACTGTACTTCAGTCTGGGTGACAGAGCGAGACCCTTTCTCAAAAAAACAAAAACAAAAATAGAACTTGAGTCTTCTCATTCACAAGGGCCAGAGATGGGTGCAGGCTCCTTCCAGCTCTAGGTTTCTCTGGCAACCATGGACCTCCAGGGTTTCAGCATCTAGAGCAACCCCTCTTCTAAGGACACCATTCCTTACTCACGTTTCAACATCTCCCACCAACCAAAGAAACCATCCATTTGATCATTCTAAGACCCTGTTCAGTTCTTTAGGTGCCGAGGATAAGACACAATAATTTTATGAGGATTTTTCTGAGCTGTAAGCATAAATCCATCTTTCACATTAGATGCTACCACCTGTGTGCAGGATATTTTAATTATTTTAATTTCGTATCATTTCAAAGACACCATCAGATAGTGCTCCTCAAGGGAAATTTTGGCTTGGGGTGGAGGCACATGTTCAAATTTCTGTACTTAGGCCAGGTATGGTGGCTCATGCCTGTAATCCCAGCACTTTGGGAGGCCGAGGTGGGAGGATTGCTTGAGCCCAGGAGTTCGAGACCAGCCTGGGCAACATGGTAAAACCTCATCTCTACTAAAAAATACAAAAAAAAAAAAAAAAAAAAAAATTAGCCATGCATGGTGATGCGCACCTGTAGTCCCAGCTATTCAGGAGACTGAGGTGGGAGGATGGCTTGAACCAGGGAGGCTGAGGTTGCAATAAGCTATGATTGTACCACTGCACTCCAGCCTGGGTGACAGCTGAGATCTTGTCTCAAAAACAAACAAACAAAAAAGTCCACCCAGTGCTTCTCAGCATACACGAAAACATACCGGTTTTCCCCAAACTCTGCTCACCATGATACTTGCCCTATGGCTTGAGGGCACCCCAACATGCTTCCTGAGGACAGTCAAGCCTCCTGGGATGCAGTGAGCTAGCACCGATGGGCAGGTCTATAATGGACAAGAATAGACTCGAGGACAGTGTGGACCACAAGGCCCCTTTAGTCTTGCCACTGTGTCACACTAGCTACTCAGCTAGGGAAGGAATTAAACAGGATTCAAGCAGACATAATTGAAATATGTACTTTTTTGACTTCCTGTGAATATCAACTACTACGAAGAATCGCTTGGTCTGACACATATTATTAAAATGTTGTGTTTTGTATAATTGTTTTTTTTTTTTTTTTTTTTTTGCCAACATTCCATAGTTGGTTCATGGTAACAGCAATAAGGTTCTCATGCCAAGCATTCCTCCTTTTACAAGAGGGATAGCATGATGCTATAAGCCTAGGAAAAATAAAATTCAAAGTTTAAAATGAAAAAAAAAATAGAATAAGACCTACTATTTGATAGCACAACAGGGTGACTATAAACAATAATAACTGTACATTTTAAAATAACTGAGTGTAGCTGGATTGTTTGCAACTCAATGGATAAATGCTTGAGGAGGCAGATACCCTATTCTCTATGATGTGCTATTTCACATTGCATGCCTGTTTCAAGACATCTCATGTACCCCATAAATATATACACCTTCTAGATACCCACAAAATTTAAAAATAGAAAAAAAATGAAAAAGTTTAAAGCGACCACACCAACTGTACTGATAATCCAGTTTAAAGCGACCACACCAACCCGTACTGATAATCCAGTTTTGTATTTTGACTTTTGAAATATGATCATAAACGTTTAATGCTGGGCCGTAACTAGGAAATTAGTTACTGAACATCTAACTTTCAACAAAAAAGTCCACGAAGTTTACATAGATAATTCTTGTGTTTAACTAATAAAATATTTAATAAAACGAGAGTAGAAAGTATAGAGAAGAAAATTATGAATTCATCAAATCAGGCCATTTTGCATCCAGATTGCATTCAGAAAACTTGTTTAACACCTAGGAGATTGTTATCCAAAGTTGATAGTGCCTGGTCTTTTTTTCATTGTTTTTGTTCTGAAAGCTGTGCATTACTCATCTATTTTTACAGAAGTCTGAAATACAGCATTTATCCCATATGTCCACATGGTAAAGTAATCAAGAAAAATATTTTCAGTGCTTAGCACCCCCACCCCAATTTAAAGGAAACCCTGACTGTAGTAAATTCATGCTAATTGAGAACTCCAGGGAAGGGGTTAAAACATTACCCAGGTACAAGTCGGGTGGCTATTATAAATGTTACCCAAATAAAAGCCAGAAACAGGAAGCCAAAAACCAGGTCCCTAAGGCAGGCACGTGTCTTAAATGATATCATTTGTCAAGTTTCCAGCATCTTGTGGTGGTGAACACAAAAAGGAGGTCTGTGTTGTACTGAGGACATTGCATCCTCATTAGCTGGAATGTTCCACAAGTACATAACGCAGGATTTTCATTTTAATAAGCAGCAGCTACTTGTCACTGCACTTTCATTAGATAAACACAGAATGTAATACTAATGACCATTTACAGAGACTCTATCCTACTCCTGAGGTACTTCATCCAGATGAAATCATATGACAATTTATAGAATATATGATGCAAAACTTCATTTCTTTGCAAACTATTCCCTGAAATTTTTTTTTTTAAATGAAGTCAGTTAACAGCAGTAGTCATCATCAAAGGAACCCCTAAATGACACTGCTGGTTTTTTCTGCCTGCAAAACAGGTTTGAACGAATAGCATTTGACTCTTTAGAAGTCATAACCAAATGGTAACAGATCACTGGGACTCCTCAGTTTCTCAGAGCCAAGCTCCTTCCACCCTGCCCGGCTGGTGACCTTAAGCCCTACATGCAGAGAAGTCCACACTGAGAAATAATTTACCCATTGGGATTGTTCCACCCTGGCCCCTTCTCTAAAACAAAGACTGACAATTGCCCTGAATTATGGATGTACTTTTTGTGATATGTATTACAGTTCACAAGAAAGGTGTTGAGACCATCGTACCATTTCACCTCCCATTAGAGGCTGGTCTTGAACAATAATCCCAGAAGATGAAACTGATGCTGAACTATGACCCTCAATTTACAAATCATTTTTCAAAAGAATAAAAAAAAGGTTAAACATATTTTTGGCATTATCTGAATGGGCGGAATCTTTCATGCTTGTTTTCTAAGAATAAGTGAAAACAGCATGCAGCGCACTTTCTTAGTTTGTGGAAAGAGAGAACATGAGGTTTTCAGATTGTATTTTATTTCAATCCTGGGTGTTTGAATTTTATTTTTACATAGCTGAATTTAGTATATTCCCTCAAAACATAATAAATTTCTATTCTGTAGCTTAAGGGATCCATCAGTTAAAATGTTGGTCTTTCATCTTTATTACCCCCCCATTAAAATGAAAGAAACCGAGACTCACTTCAGTTTCGAAGAAGCAATTTAATTGGTAATGCCCTTAGTCCCCAAGTCTTTACAAAGGGAGAAAGTACATTATTGCTTAGATTTCACACATCTATCTGCATAAGAGGCAACTAAGCCTTTTGGACACCGACTATGTTAAATTTAATAATATTCTTTGATTAGATTATTTTATTACAACATTTTTCCATTACCAGTCATTTCCTGTGCACAGTTACATTCATAAAACCTGCTCCCCCCCCCTTTGTTTGTTTGTGAATGTAAAAGCGAGGCAAAGTCTCTTTCCGTGTTGCTGTGGCTGTTAGGTCTGAAAGGGACGGAGGAATAACTAAGCATCACACTGGACAGGCTCTCCTAGTCCTCTGCACCAGTAACCCTTTGCTATAATGAGGACACAAAGAGCCTCGTATCAGGCCGCTACCCTTCTTCATAACTCAAAAGCGTCACAGTGGCAATAGCCTCTAGTGCTATTTGTCTTTAGTGCAGTTGTGACACTTCGGCATGATCCATAATTTGGCAGCTATTTACCGTGACATTTCCCTTCAGTGCAGCCATAACATTCAGTGAAGCCATTATTTGGTTCCATTTACCATATAAATTGTATTGTTGTGCATGCATGCTAGCAGCTACATTAGGTACCTGAAAATGAGTAAATCTTGTAAAATACATACTAACAGCTATTCAGCAGTAGGATTTCCTTGTTCCTGAGATGGAAGGAAAGAAAAATTAAATACGGTCCCCAATTTTCCTAGAGCATCTTTAATTGCGTCCATATTTATTGAGCAGGTTAGATACACCGAAACCAAAGACTTTGAAAAATAATCTGGTGGGCTTCACCTTCAATTAGAAGGGCACCGTGGGGTTTCTGTGCAATGGTGACAGTGGCAGCAGTCTTCAGGGCACTAAAGGTTACGTGGGAAGCCGATGAGCCACAGGCGTGATTCAGAAGAGAGGGTGCAGGTTTTGCTGCTTTTCCCGTGTGGTCAGTGGGTGAATGTGGGACAGGCTGTAGTGCTAAGGAGCATCTCATTCCACCAGAACACGTGGAGAGGGAAACAGGAATGCAGAATGAGTGGCTGCTGTTCTGTTCCCAGAATCAGAGGTAACATATAGCTTCTAGTTTGAAAGCCTCTAAGGAAAAGCAAATGTATTCTTCCTTGAGATGACTGAGGTCCCTATAGTGCACAGGGCGATGGGACATGCCGTACCTCGGGCATCGCAGCACACTGTTATTAAGGCCTTGCGGTGTGCCTAGACAGTGTTTCCCTCCCGGGCCCGTGTTTTGTGGCGAACCCTCACTGTGAATGGAGCGCATACTTTTCTCTTTCCTGTGCCTATATTAATTTTAAGTCCCCCTAATCTCTGTGGTTTCCCTTTCCAAAACCTACTTTCTGTCTGTGTAAGTTTTCAACAGTAATTTGCTGCTTCAGAGGAAAGAGAACATTTCCATTTCACATGTGCCTTACCAGGGGGATGGTAGATAAAAGCCATTACGTGCTACTTCTTCAACACACATCTGTGTTCACAGAATCATTTTTCTAATAACAAAATCAAATTTGGGAGGAAATTCCCCCACATGTCCATTTAGATAGTTGGTTAGTGATTTATAGAAAAAAAAAGAGCATTTCCTGAGGATACAGATTCTGAAAATATATGGCTGGCTTTTGCTACACTTCTCACTCATGAACTGCTTATGAGCGTAAGACCAAATTCTCCCAAAGCAAAGATTCTTTCGGGAACCACTTTCAAAACTGATTTTAAAATCTGATCAAGCTGAAGACACACTGACTCGATCAGATCTGGCATCAGGAATGAATTTAGTTCCCTGCAACAACAAAATCTGGAACGAGACCATCCATGACTAAAGAATTGAATGTAAGCGTTTTCCCTCTCAGCCATGGAGGGAAGTTTTATTAGCACTTTTTTTTCCCCCCAAGGGAAGAGGAGGAGGAGGAGGAGGAGGAGGACAGACCTATTCATTAACACCTTACTTTTGTTTTAAGAAATATTATATCCATTACCAACTAAAAATAAATTGATTTGAGTAATTCTGAGACATAAAGTGCCCATTTTCTTTTTCCCTTGATTTATGTCATTGTTCTGTTTTTACAGCTTACTGTTGACAGAGTGAGGTAATTCAACTACAATTTTTCCAGTGTTTTTTCCCATGTACATATAATTGACAGCACGGAATATGGACTCCAGGCCAGTAAACCTGCCCTCTGGAGACAGATCTCCAAGGTCCACCTCACAAACCAGGTCTCCACTCGCACACATCTCAAGCAAGTGCCCCATGGCTGCTTCATACTTAGAAAGGTAATGGTTCAGGAAGAAGCCCTGCACGCTGGCAGATTTCTTGAGCAGTTTGGCTGGCAATGTTCCTGCTTTCACAGGCGAAAGGCCAGTAGGAGTTTGGTAGCCAGAGATGAACCCTATTACTATCAAGCGCCCTTTGGTAGCCAGGGCGTCTACAGCCAAGTCAAACATGGCTCCCCCAACAGATTCATAGACCACATCGACGCCTTCAGGGTACTCCTGCTTAAGGACGGTACCTACGGGTTCAGTGTTATAGTTGATGGGACGATCACAGCCAACAGATTTCAGAAAAGCAGACTTTTCATCAGAAGAGCAGGTTCCAATTACATGGCACTTTGCCTTCTTTGAAAGCTGCACGGCAAACTGGCCTGTTCCCCCAGCTGCTGCTGTCACCAAAACTTTTTTCCCTTCCGACAGTTCCCCGAGCTCTTTCAGACTGATGTATGCGGTGGTGCCACTTACCAGCAGGGTAAGATACTCGGGTTTCACTGAGGGCACTGGAGTTGCAATGTTGGCAGGCACAACTGTGTACTCAGCAAAAGAACCAGGTGCCATGTAAGCCACAGCTTGGCCAACTGTGTATCTGGCACTAGCAGAGAGGCCTAGGGCCACCACCTCCCCAATGCCTTCGAAACCTATGTCAAAGGGAGGCTTAACTGAGGGGTCATAGCGGCCTGCTGAATAGTTGATGTCAGATGCGTTAACACCAACAAATCTAAAAGAAAACAAACAAACAAATATATTACGATGGGTTTTTTGTTAGGCACTTAGATTCTGCTTAGAGAAATTCCTCTAGTTCTGGCTACTGTGGAGGGGTTGCTAAGCTATACAATCTGATCGAATTTGAGAAAATTAGTCCTGCTGCCCAGATTAAAAAAAGAAATTACACAAGTATTAGTTCAACATGCTTTGTACTCAGTTTTTGGCATATTTTATCCTGTCATCAGTTTAGAAATAATTTCATATCATTTTAAATGGCAAGTTGTTTGTTTCACATGCCATTTATTTCTGTTTTCTTTCAAAAGTAGAAATAAGCAAAAAAAAAAAAAAAAAAAGAAAAAAGAAAAAAAGAGTCAGGAAGTTCTCATTATATATAAACTTCATTGGAGCTGTGAGTTGGAAATTAATTGGCCTCTTAACAAAGATGTTAAAAACAACACTGGGATAAAATATATTCAAAGAAGTAGACTTGTATTGATTCTGGCAACAATTTAACACTTAAGATAATAATAGTAATGACAATGATATTATTAAAGATTGATGGAATGTGCAAGGTCACTGGTTGCTACATGTTCCTGCAGGGGTTGTTTGAAGCACTGTTAAAGTGGCTGTCGCAAATTTTCTTTCTGTTGTAACTACATCCAGTGTGAAAATACGCATTTTGATTAATTGAACAAAAATTGGGTAGAGCGATTTTTATGAAACATTCAACATTTCACAGTCCTTTTCAGATGAAAAGGAAAGCAAATCGTCACTATATTTTTCCTCAACAAGAAGCAGAGACATAACTTGATTAATACCAGATGATTATTTTCATTTTGGTATCCAGAGTCCATTTAATTGCGAGGCCAGTGTTTTTCCCAGCCTTTTTCATCTCAGTATACCTCATAACAAAAATATCGTGATACATAGGAGGAAAAAAGCCATCTACTAAGAATGTCAGGAGGTGGCTTAGACACATAACGGAAGACCCTAAAAATGTCATTTCCACCTGTAATAGAATGAAAAGGTAATAGTAACTGGTGGCAGGAGGAAAGCTGTTAAGTAGGTCATTTTGAAGGAATTCACTTTTAACTTAATAAACCAAAACTGCCCTGTATGCGATACACTTTCACCGTGATATAGATAATACTCTGCGCTTATAAATGCTCACTTATGATCATCCCCCGTGTATCTACAGGACAGAAAAGTCTCTGTACATTGCAGAAATAAGAACACGGGGAGCAACTGCTTTCTGTGATGTCAAGCTGCATTCAGACGCCTGCACACCACACAGCCTCAATAACACCCCACACAATTCCATACCCATAGAAGATACACAATCACGAGAAGAGGGGAAGATGAGTTTTGCTGGTTTCTCATTTGGCATTTAATATCAAGATGCCTATGTTCTATTTTTTTTCCCTACATTCTATTTTTAGAGAAGGGAAAAAGAACCTGCCATCTTTCCTTTAAATTTACATAATTTTCAAGGCCTGGTGTTTTAAAAAGGGCCCACTTCCCGGGAGCTTGCTTCTGGACTTCACAGCAGCAGCCCAGGGCAGAGCCAGCTGGAGCCGTCTCCGCGCCTCTGCCTTAGGCTGTAAAGCAAACTCCAGGAAAGGTGCCCATGGGGGTGGAAGTGATGGCAGGGTTTGCTCTGGAGGTGGGGGGCCGACCCACTGCCAGTTGTGTTCTGTGCAATCCTTTGCCCATGATTAACCCTTCCCACGCCCTTCATCCCTCCCGGCTTGTCCCCCTGGTGTCTCTGCAGTACCAAAGGCAGTCGCCGCCCCTCTGCAGGGAGACCTCGCCTTGGGCTCGGAGGGACGCCCGGGCGGCCAGCCCCTCTGCGAAGGCAGCCCTCGGGGTCCTCCCCACCTCGGAATGGGCACGCCCTGGGGGCTCTGCAGGAGGAAAATGCAACTCCCCCTCTCCCCGCCCCAGGCTGTGGTTCGCCACTTCCTGGGAAGAGGTGGAGAGAGGCAGCAGGACGCACACCGGAGCAGCCTGGGGAGCGCGCACACGCGCTGGACCGGGTTAGCAGAGGCCAAGTTTGGGAGGGGGGAGTGGGGCTCTGTTGGGAGCTGGGGTGGCTGCAGCCAGCGGCTGCTTGAGTTTGCCAGGGGGCTTTGCTTGAAAAACCACACCAAACATCGTAGTTATTCGCAAGGGCAAGCGCTGGAGCAGTGGCAGCAGACCAGCGGGGCCCGTGTGCCCGTCCAGGCTCCGTCCGTCCAACTCCCTCTCCCTCAGAAGTGCCTGCCGCCGCAGTCCTCAGCTCCAGCCGTGCAGTCCTGCGGCCTCCCCACCGCCACCACGGAGAGGGGGATCATTGAACCCAACTCCAGGGCGGGCCGGGACCGCGCAGGCCGGGCTCTGTGGTAGAGCGGAGGCTCCTCAGGCCTGCGACCATGACCTCGGCCTCTCCGGGCCGGGCAGCGGCCCCCGGCAGGCGCGCCCAGTCGGTGCCCTTCGTCCCAGCGCTGGCCGCGCAGCTCTGCCTGTGTGGACAAGTTCTCTCCGAGTCCCGCACACGCGGCGCGCCGGAGCGCAGTGGCCGCCAGACAGGGCCCGCTGGCGGCTTGACCATGACCTTGGCCTCGCAGGCACCCCCATTTCTCACCCTTGCTCTCCCACCCTGCCGTCTTCTAAACTGTCTGCGTCGTCGGTGAAGGAGGCTTAGGCTGGCTGACGGCAAGCGCCCGCGGTGGCTCGGTTGGCTCCTCGCACCGCGCCCTCTCCCTGGTCTCCCTGCCCCCGGTTCGCTGACCCCACCTCCACCGGGATCCCCTTTTTGACACAGCTTCACACCCGAAGCTGTTGGGGACCCTCCACAGCCCGGGACCCGCCTGAGTCCTTACCTCTGCGTGAGCGTCCGCAGCTCGCGCCTTCTGCTCCACCAGAAACAAGTTCAAGCGCAGCCGGCGCAAAGCGAACGGGGGGCTTGGGACGCGGAGCAGGGGCGGAAGGGCCAGGGAGCCACAGAAAGACAAGAAAGACACGCTGGGAAGGATGCGAGCATTTGGAGACCCTCCCTGTAACCCCCTTTAATTAAAAATATGTGCATGCAATGAGGGCAGGATTCCAGTAATCCGACGGGAGGACCCACTTGAGACTAAAATCCAGGAACCCCAGGAAAAAAGAATAGGACCGGCGCAGGCATTCTCCAAATCTATACCCTTCTAGAATCACCAGCTTATATGTACTAAAAAGTGCTAAACTCCCTCGTCTTGTTTACTGAGAAACAGAGCGATCCTGCGGAGGGGAGGGGAACGCTTTCCTCTGAACAAAAACCAAAGGCGAGGATTCAAGTCCAGAGTAAAAGCCTTCAATACTGGGAGACAAAACAAAGTCGCCCAAACCAGACCTGCCTTAAGAAAAAAAAAAAAGAAAAAAAAGAAAAGGAAAGAAAGGAAAAAAGAGAAATAAACGAAGAAGGAAAAGGAAGACAAGAAAAAAAAAGTGGAGGGGGGGGATCTCAGCCTGGAGAGTCGGCACAAAATACTGTTCCCCTCCCGTAAGCAACAAACCGTTCATCAAAAACGCCTTCCCCATCCCCCACCTTCCCTTAGCCATTCCTACAAACTCTTTGGTCCATTATCTTACACTTGAGCAGAAAATCCTTAGAAATATTTGGAAACGAAATAATCTGTCACCTTCTTACGAAAAAAGCTAAAAATAGTGCATAAACTGACTTAACCTGGGGGTGTCTCTTTCTTTTTCTTTTCTGAAGACTGAGCGTAGAGGGGGAGATGGGAAGTTGTTCTCGGATACACAAAACAGTAAGGTAAGAACTGGATAAAGGACCATCAATTATACATTCTATAGGGATTTTATACACCCCTTCTTACATCTTTTCTAAATAGTAAACTTTATTATCCTAAATCAATGTCTAGCTTACAAGCACATCCCTCCCTGTGAATGAAGAATTTGTATTTTCTGCTAAGATGCAATGAAATGTGCAAATGGTTCACTGAAATAAAAAAAAAAAAGAGTACAATTAAAACCTCCAAACATCTTTCCAAATAAGTGAATTTAAGCTTACTCAATTCATTCTAGAGCGGATTTTATGACGATAAAAATGAGAAGCACTTGCATAAAATTTAAAGCAATTAACATTGCTTAGGGGAGATTTGGTCTAGGATTAAAATGAACTAACATGCAGTGAATTATTAAGCCTCTATTCTTAAAAAATTCGGTAAAATGTTACATCCACTGACACTGTTTGCAAGAATACAGGATCTTCCTACAACGTGGTGGTGGGAGCAGATTTTCCAACAGAGTAGGGAAAGGGGGAGGCAAAGATTCCGTCCCCTCCCAACTCAAAAGAAAACTGGCCCCATTCTTTTCCGTTAAGGATTCAAGGAAGAAACTAGAGGTCAGGTTGTTCATATGGAGATACTATTTATATTAAAGGGATTCTTGGCATGTGTGCAGGGAAAAAAGAGGCATGGATTTTACAGTTGAGCACGCTGAGGAGCTCCAAACATGGGAGTCTGCACTCCCGCGCTCTGACCACAGAATTCAGGGATCCACCTGTCTCCTGCCCCGGGACCAACCCTGGTGATCCAGCGCAGGCAGTGCCTAGGCACCCTGGTTCTGCCTCTCTCCCCAGGGAAGAACTTACCCTTTGGGGAAGGGGAAAGGGAGGGGTCCCAGGGCAGAAGTAAGCCTGAAGGAAGGGGAATCACAGGAGGAAAAAACCCCACAGAGCTGATTAACACTCGCAGGTAGAGAGGCCCAGGAGACCCAGCGCAGGGCGGCAGGAGCCCTCTCCACCTCTCCACCGAAGGCGGGTGGTCCCACCAGGCTGTGGCTTATAGTTCTCTAACGTCCCACCTTCCTCCTGCCCCTCCTCGCTCAGTCGCCTCCTCCCCATATCACACTATTTCCAAAAGGAATTTTATTCACAAACGTGTATATGTGTTTATACTAGTGTTTGCAGTCAAGAATATACTTTATCAGAGGGAGAAAAAGGGAAAAACCCTGTGTGGAACTTCTTGCCCGTCAAAGTTTGTTGGGAAATCTTTTCAGTCTGGTGTCATTTCAACTTCTAGCAAATCACTCGTGCGTTTGGTGTGCTCCCCGTGAAAACACACTCAAGCCCTTCTTTTTAGCTGGGCTGTGTGCACATTCTCAACAGCACTGGCATTTCATCCCATAATGAATCAATCCTCTGCTGAGTCCACAGCCAATGCAAACATTTTCAAGGATCCCTACACACTCCCCTTTAAGCCATTCCAGACCAGTCCCCCACTCCCGCCTCCACACAATCCCACCCATGGTTCAAATCATTCTTCGCAAAAGGTTTCCAAAAGTTATATACCCTGATCAGCATTCTTCCATACTACAGTCTTGTTAGGAAGGCTAATAGGAATCTCGAAAATGGACAGATTAAATGCTACACCAAGCTACTTAGGAAAGGTATATTTAGTCCTTCAGTCCGTGCATGGGACTTTGTGGTACTTTCTAGCACAGAATTTACAAAAAAGTTACAGTCAGAACTTACTCCTCCCCTTCAATATCATTATTCAACTTGAAACATGCAGCACTGTAACCATTTCGATGGGACTTTGCAGGCCTCTGCAGAGGGCAGAGAGGAGCGCCTTGCCAGCCAAGTCGGGCAGCCAGGGACCCACGGAGCAGAGACCCAAGCGGGCATGGCTCCGATACAGAGTGATGTCCGTTTCCTCCCTGTTGTTTCGCCAGTTACTAAAGATGAGTGAGGCGGAAACACACTACGGTGGGGAGCGTGGGGGGTGGAAGAGCCAGAAGGTCTCGCAACAACCCAGTGTCACCTGAATGTCTGCAAAACGTGCTAGCAAAGGCAGCCATGCCCCCACCCCGACCCTCGCCCAGCTGCCCAGGACACCCGCCACGCGGGGGTCATTACACTCAGGGGACAGACAACAGTCACGCTGCACTGACAACACTCAGACAACACCGGCGAGGTGCACACCCACACACCCAACACCAGGCTCCGCCACTGCCAGGCGGCTGCCAACCTGGAGGGAACAGGGAAAGCCAGCCGGGTCCCAGCCTCCTTCCTCCAAAGCACGTTTACCTAAACGTCGCAGTTTGCGTCCAGGCTGCTCCCGCTCCACCCTAAAGATTATGTCAACGCAGGAACTGTGGGTGCGCGCAGGCGGGCCGGCGGGGAGCCTCCCCTTCTGGGTCCCGTCGGTTTTATTTCGGGAGCGGGAGGGGGAGGAGGGAGGGCTGGAGGAGGGGAGGGGAATCCCAAATTAAAATAACCCTCAGTTATGAGGACGTTCGGTGATATCGGATATTCACACCAGCAACAGTCACATCACATTCTCCTTCGCCAGATGGCGGCGGGTTCAACTTCCCGGGATCTCGCAAAGTCAGGCTGTGCGCCCGAGCGCGCGCCGGAGTGTGGGCACGCGGGCGGGCTGGGGACGGCGGGAGCGGCGCTGCGCGAGCCGGGGGCGAGGACGGGGTCGTGGGGCGGGAGGGCGCCGGGCTCACCGGTTCCGGACGAGGAGGTCTCCGTCCCCGGGGAGAGGCACCGGGCAGTCCCGGCTCAGGGTGACGGCCTCGCGGAAGTTGGGGCTCAGCCGGGTCACCACCAGCTTCTGCATGGCTCGGGGAATGGCGGAGCCCTGGAAGTCCAGGAAGTGGCGGGCGTACGACATGTCCACGATGGCCCGGGTCCCGGAGGACGCCAGCCGCAGCATGGCCCGCGCCTCCATCCGCTCTCTGCGCCGACGCTGGCCGGGGTCGGGCCCCGCCCGGGCCGCTCGGCTCGCTGTGCTCTGCTCGGCTAGGGCGGGCGGGTCCGCCCCTCCTCCGGCCGGCGCCCTCCCCCTGGCTCCCCCCTCTTCCCCGCGTCGCCCGCTCCCGCTCCCCCCACCTTCCCGGCGCCGGCGCAGCCCCCGCGAACCCGGGCGCACCACCCCGGGTGTCCCGGCCTGGGGACCGCTGTTGCCCCGGCCGCTGCTCCTTTAATCTTTTTGTTTTGGTTTGAATCTGCTCGGCGCAGACTGGCCAAGGATCCTCTCCGCCCTCCCCCTTCCTCCTGGCGCGGGAGAGGCACCGGATATCCCCACCCTCCTTGGGCTCTAAAAGCCGGATTTGACTCCTCTTGGGCAAGGGGCGGGGGGGCGGCGGGCAAGGGGGGACGGGGAACTCGCGCGTCCCACGGTCGTCCGCGGCCCCGAGCCGGCGGCAACCCCGGGCGTCCCCGGAGTGGCGCGGCGGCCGGCGCAGGCGCCTCCCCTTCCCGTGCGAAGCGTTCACTTCCTTGCAAGGTGGTACGAATCAACCCCGAGCGCGGCCCGGGCGGCGGGGCACGACCGGGGGCCCCGGGCTGGGCGGGGAGCCCCTGCCGCCGCCGCCGCCGCACGCGCACCCGCACCGACCGCGGGGCGGGGAAAAGTCCAGTGCCTCCCGCGCCCCAGGCTGGTGGCTTCCTGTCCCCGGAACGCCTTGCCCGTGCCTTCTGTCCACGGTCTGTCCCATGCAAGTTGCACGAACTAAGCCATTTTATTTATTTTGGCCTAGATTTCATGTTTTTCCATGAACGTTTTAAGTAGCTCTACAAGACTGTTACAGGTTTCCCACTGGGAGAGAACACACATATTGAAAACCAGAAGGCCAAACTCCCAGAGTACAGACACATTTTAAAGTTCTAGGTGGGAATGCCGAGAGACCTAAATGAATTGGAGACGTTGCAGTGATGTGTGAGGACCTCATTTTCGAACACAGCTAGAAAGATCTGTCGTTCCATCGTGTCCGTTTTCTCCCTACTGGAGTGCATTGACCAAGTATCAATTCACTTTTCATAGAGGGTCCAAATATTTCCACACTTTTCTGTGATGAGCTAAGTCCATCTTTAAATTTTATTTATATTGTAAATTTTAATTTTAAAAATTATTACTTTTCGGTTACCCACTAATTACCAAAATATAAAAGCCACTCTGGGCTCCTCCCCAGCCAAAGCTAACCCCTAACCTGAGATTGCAAAAGCGACACAGGTATTTTTTTCCCCCCAAATGTAGGACATGCTTCACCCAAGGGTAGTTTGGATGCACGTGGTTGAGTGTGTATGAATGTGCAAGTGTGTGTATGTGTATGTGTGTGTGTTGGGGGGGACTAACAGGTTTTAAAATCTGCAGGAACTAATGTCTACTTAACTTAGAACATATGGGTTTTACCCGGTATCAGCCAGTGGATTACAGTAACAACACTGAATGTCTTCCTCCAATGTACAGTCTTTTATGTTATGCTGTATTAAGATTTCTTTTTTTTTTTGTCATATTGTTTAGCTCCGAAAAAAAGAAAACAAAGCAATTAAAAAGATTGACAGGTATGGTTTGTGAGAGACCTATTTGTAATTGTCAGGGTGACGTTGGCGAGAGGAGGAGGAGTAAAATCTGAAGCAGGAAAAGCAGCTCGATGTGTCTGTCTATCAGTTGAGACTGTCTGAAAGCTCTGCGATCCGAATGTGTGTTATATTTCACTGAAAAGAGGAGAGAGCGAGAGTGCATCTCCCTCTCTCCCAGGAGTTTGGGGGGGGGGGGAACAGTCCACGCTCATCTCGCCCACCCAGTGAATGTCTGCTCTTCACCCCCTTTGCACACACTCTCCGGGTTGTTATTGCCTTTTTTTTTCTTGGAAGGGGGGTGCTTTTTGTGAATTTTTCAAATTTTTTTCTGTTGGAAGATCAAGACCGGCCAAAAATCCATGATCAAAATGTGTTTGCATTAGATTTCGCATTGGAAGAAGCGGCGATCCTGGCGGCCAAGCCCCCCGGGAGGAAGCGCGGGGCACCAAGTGGCGCTCTGGCGGGGTGACACTGTTTGATCTGTGACTGTTTGGAAGGTGGAGCGGCGCCTGACATCTCCCCCCGGCGCATGTATGTACGGGGGCTTCACTCCTCTGTCTTGTTTGCTTTCTTCCTCTTAGACTAAGTGCGGGGAGAAAAAGGACAGCCTGGATCGGCCTCGCTGGCGCACAATGAGAAAGCTGCGACCCGCGCACTAAAAACACTCGCCGCGACCCCCAAACAGCGAGAAGCGAGGGGGAGAGAAAGTTGCGCTCGGCGACTCTCGGCTCGCGGAAGAAGGCGCAGGGGAGCGCCCGGAGCGGCGCGCCCGGAGGAGCGCCCGCCCAGCAGCAGCGCGGCGGCGGGGAGGCGGCAGCATGGAGCGCGGGCCGCGGGCCGGCCCGCCGAGCGCCCGCCGCTGCGCCCGCGGCCCGCGCCGAGGATGACTCGGGCTCGGCGCCAGGCCCGCGCTCCGCCCGCAGCCCGGCGGCCGGGACGCAGCCGCGCGGCCGCCGCCGCCGCCTCCTGGGCGGCCCCGGGCGCGGCGGTCCATGCGAGCGGCTCCCCGCGGTCCGCAGCGCCCGGGCGGAGCGGTTCGCGCCCGAGGCCGTCCCCGCGCCCCGCAGGCTCCGGCGGCGGCTGAGGCGACGGCACCGGCGGCCGGGCAGGGCGGCGGTCCATGCGAGCGGCTCCCCGCGGTCCGCGGCGCGCCCGGAGCCCGGAGCCCGCGGGGACGAGGCTAAAGTTGGGCGCGCCGCGGAGTTGCGCCCGCGCCCGGGGCCCCGCGTCCCCGCGCCCCGCGAACTCCGGCGGCGGCTGAGGCGACGGCTGCGGCGGCCGAGCAGCATGCCGAGGAGGAAGCAGCAGGCCCCCCGGCGCTCGGCAGGTAACCGGCGCGCGGCCCGCGCCGCGGGGAGTGGGCGCCGGGAGGAGTAGGAGCAGGAGGAGGGGGCTTCGCGGGCCGAGGTGCGGGACGTGGGCCGCGGGCCGCCCCAAGCTAGGGAGCGGAGGCCCAGCCTGCGCTGGCCACGGTCGTCTAGAGGCTGCGGTCGCCGTCCTCTCCCGCACCCCCAACCTGGGCCGGCGCGTGGAGCAGAGAAACTTCGCGGTGCTTCTCTGCGCTGCGGGAAGCCTGGATGGCTGGGGGAGGCCGGGGGCCGCGGGACGGCGGGTGCTTCTGGCTACCTCGGGAGGGGGCGTGCGCTGAGGGGAAGTAGTTGCTCCTAGGCGGTCGGAGCGCACTGGAAAAGTCCTCCAAAGGCGGGGAGGCTGAACCTGACACTTGAAAACAAGGTCACCAGGCTGGGACGCAAAGAATGTGTTCAGAAGATTTCTCTGGAAAACAGCAGCCTTTAATGTCCTGTGCAAGAGTCTCCCCCCGCCCCCACTTTTTTATTACCTCTAAAGATGTCTTTTGATCAGGCCAGCACAAGGCAGTGATAGTGCAGACTCTGATTGAACAGAAAAGTTATTTTTCTCTGGAGGAGGAACTGGCAGGAGCTGGTTTTCCTTGTTTTCTGTTTTATTAGAGGATTGCCATCCTTGATTTGATGTGTGATTGATCGCCTGTCATCTGGCAGCCTTTGATCTATTCATTCCTGATAAACATCAATAAATCACTCACCATGGAAACACACATGCTCCTGACAGCTCCGCCACTATCAGGGCAACTTTTCTCTCTCGCTCCCCCTTTTGCTGCTCCATTTTAATTTTGTCTCAGAAGTTTTACAGCTGCAGCATCCCTTAACTCAGCTCACCTACTAATCCATTGCTAAACCCTGGGGTGGGTCAGCTGCCATGCGTTTTTCACCACAGGTTTGAAAATAGCCCAGTGCTTCTGCTGCCTGCTGAAGTCTTGTCTCAGTTTTGGACATTGTGCTTGTGGGGCTGAGAATGCAACCCATTTGCCAGTGTTATCGCTAAATAATAGAGTAAATCCACTCTCTCCAAGCTCTTAGGGTAAAAATATTAGAGAGAGTGTTTTATGTTTAAACATGAGCGACTCTTTAGCTGTTGCAGTATAGAATAGAATCTGAGTAAGTTTGAGTATTACATTCAGTAATGTGCACGTGTTCAAGTCTTTATACGTGCTTTTTCTGGGGAAGCACTTAAAGCAGAGATTACTGCTACTAAAAAATTTGGGAATAGTATCTACGTTTATGAATGGTTCAATAAAATAAGCTCATAATTTCCATTAGATCCCTGATAGAAATGCTCTCAAGGAGCTGAAGGAGATTACCTTATGCCGAGTATTCACAACGTAAAATG